CATTTTAAACTATTTTTTAAACATATTTTATTGTTTTAATACTTTTTTTAAAACATCGGCATCTGGCGATTAAATTCAGCTAAAGCTAAAAATATTGCTTCCAATTTGTTAATTCTATTTGATCAGAAAAAGCTGATGTATTATTTTTTATATCATTTTGAATTTATTATGAATATAACAGGTACTAATATTGTTAGCTGAAATTGTTTTATACTTGTAGAAATATTTCAATATTTGATATTTAGTCTGCCAAAATATCTAAATATTTCCAAAATCCTAAATATTGCCGAAATGTCTAAATAATGTCAAAATGTCTAAATTAAAAAATATATATGAAAAAACATAAGATAATTAGGGCTATTAATCAGTTCTGACTAAACCGTCAGTCCTGTGGTTCTTTTTAGAACTGGGCCAATCTGGTCTTTTATGGGTCAGACAGACCAAAAAGATTACTAGTCCAAATATAGTAGCTTTAAATTATTGTAATAAACATATGTAGCCTAAATTTTTGTGTATTTGAGCTTAATTTTTTAATACTATTGTATCTAAATATTATAAAGCTATTGCAGTAATAGTTAAAATACTGTAATACTACAAATAGCATAGAATAACATAGGATAAAATTCTGCTAGTATTTATTCTTTAAAGTAATTTTTATAATTAAGATATTTACTGGTTTTGTGAATAGGAAATCATTGGTCATCAAAGTTCATAGCGAAAGATCTTAATTTTTTTTTTTTACTGTTCAGTTAAAATTATTTCTTATAGCTATAAGTTTGTTTTTGGATTATCCAAAAATAAAAAAATTTCTAAATTGTTCTATATTTTTACTAATGTGAAAGCAGACATAAATTCTCAAGCTGCAGATCTACAACATGGCTATTATTCATGATTAAATTGGTAACAGTAAAGCGAGTTATGTTATATTCTGTCATAGGTGATGAATAATTATGATTAGTCATTAATTTAATAAATTAATGTTAAAAAGAATAAACACAAAGTATTCAAATATTATCAAAAATCTGATAGTAATTTAATTTTAAACTATACCACTATCCCTACCCTAACTTAAGCTGAATGTTTAATCATATTAAGTTGTAGTATAATAAGCATAAAAGGTTGTTAATCACTTTTTAAACTATATAAACATGTATTGCCAATTATACTGTTTATTGATATTCGTAATTCATTTATCTTTTAAAAAATATGTTAATTTTGAAAGACTCTAACAAAGATTCACAAACACTGCACTTTCTTAAACTTTACTAATTACCACAGTAATAAATTAGTGCTGCCAAGAGAAATATAACTTCAATCATCCAGAATTTATATGATTGAAGCTTTCATTTTCATATTTAGCCAACCATTTAGATATTTAGTTACATAATATTTATTTAGTCAACTATTTAGGCATTTAGTCAAATTTAGACTTTTAATATGTCGAAAAAAAATAATGCCATATCAAAATATATTTAAACACTAATTGCCTAAATGGTTGACTAAATTAAGTATTTCAACTAACAACATTAAGATAAAAAAAACCGAAAATTATAAGAAATATATTTAATCACTTTAAGTTTCTTTTTTTTATTATCGATGCTTTATATAAATTATTTATTTTTCTGTAGACTAAATACAACTTTTCAGTTTTACATTTGTTAATATTAAAGTCTATGTACTTTAGCACAATATTACCGCTATATAAACTTCATTGAATAAGCTTTTAAAAATGAATTATTTGAAGATTAGAAAGATTACAATGTATTCTTTCTATTTTAAATATCATTTTCATTATCATCAAAATAGTCATCATCCTTAATTTCTTTTCGAATTTTCAAATTCTGGTATATAGTCACAAGTCTCTTCACATGATCATTATCCAAATATGCACAGTATTTATTATAAATAAACCCAAAGTCTAACCAACAATGCTCTGTAGCAGCTGAAGAAGCTGGAATTGTAAGAACTTGGCAGGCAAGCTCAACCACAGATGGAAATTTATTTGAAAAGTTAGATTGCCACCAACTAACTGAACTTGAATATTTAACAGATGCCTACAATAATAGCCCAGAGAATTTATTAGCTTTAGCAATATATTTTTAAATCACTCCAAAAATCTTTAGAATAATTAGATAATTAGATATTTAATAATTTAAATATATTTGTATTATAGTTATTATGCTTATATTTGTGGCAATTTCAAATTCATAAACTTTTTCAAGATATGGAATAATAATATTTTCAAGATTGTTTGGCTTTAGTGATTTTCTATGGAGCTTAAATATAAAATTATTAAAATTAATAATTTATAAATTTTCAAATTTATAAATTAAAAAAAAAAATTGCCTAGGATCAAGAAGATTTGCAATTGCCATTGCAGAATAAAATATATAATTAAACCATTTTTCAATTAATTCTAAAATCTTTGATCTAAAATCAGGTTCTAAGTTATACAAATCAACTGATTGTTGAATTAGTTGCTATTCAGGATGAACATGTGAAAGTAAAGGTTTATCAGATTCAAATACATATATAAATCTAACAAAAGGTATTAGGAAAGAGGCTAGTTTTTCAAACTCATTCTATAATAAATTATTTAGTAATTGTTTACAAAGATCATAAGCAATTTTTTTACCAATTTCGGGTTGTATAACTGCTATTTGAATTCCCAATTTGCATCAAAGTATAGATCTGATTGCATCTAAACATGTTCCCCAATGAGTTTCAACAGGTTGAACTAGAATAATCATATCCGGTTAATTTAATAAAACTGATTTAGCTTGATGGTGTGCTCAAAAAAAACCAATAATTTGCTTCGCATAGCTCATTAATTTGTCTGCCCATTCAAGTTTAAGTATATCTTTAATTAAAAGATTTCTGACATAAGCATTATAGACTAAACAGACTAACCAAGGATAATCTTTGTTAAGCAATTTTCAGGCAGCTTGTATAGAATTACAATTGTCCATCACAACACCAGAAAACTTAGAAGAACTAATAATTTCAATTATAATTTTGAGCTTATGATAAATATATTTTGCAATATGTGAATCAGATCTAGTATATATAGCATCATAAAAAATGGGCTTTGGAAAACAAAAAATGAAATTAATAACTAATTCTTATTAGATATTTGACTACCCATCTGACACCAATGTAATATTAGTTGCCTTATCTAGAATAGTATTTAAATTTTGTTATTCTATCTAATATTTAGAATCCAGTAAATTATTTGCTAAATTATGTCGATTAAAACTAACATAAAATGGGTGTACATTTCTAATATAATATTGCACAGCTTCTATGAATTCATCCCAAAAAGGGTTTTCAATAATTGTAAAAGAAATACCTGCTAAATAAAAAAACCTTGCTAGAATACTATTTACATCTGTTTTATCAAAGTGTATATCTTCACTTGAACTAGAATTTTGGCCTTGAAGCTTCAATGAATCTTTTATATTTTTTGGAAGCTTTTTACATTTTGATAAATGACCTTTTATTAAATTAACACAATCTTCTTTGCAATAGTTATATCTTTGACAGGGTGTTGTTTGACCATGTTTATTGGTTTCAGTAATTTTTGCAAAGTTTAAACAGATTTCTTTTAATGGAGGTCTTTCATGAATATGAGATATTGACATTTTTTTTTACTTTTGAATATTAGTAATCACAATATCACAATAAATATATACTATAAAATGCATAATTTTGGATTACATCAAAAATGTTTTAAAACATTTTCAAACAAATTTAAATCAAACAATCACGTTTTTTAAGATTATGATTTAAATCATTTGCCATCCCTAAAATATGCACGTGGTTTTTAATTTTCACTATGTAAAAAACCGTGTCACACCAGGTACTGTATACAGTGCTAAACTTATAGGATGACATTCATATGATTGGTTAATTTTTGTAGATCTACCCGTGAATTCCCATGATAATTAGCCAATCAAAATACATAGTTTTTAAAAAGATTTATCATTTTGAAAACGAAAAGAACTTCACATAAAGAAGCTTACAAATTCTTTTTTTATGTGCATTTATCAGTTTGTTACATTTTAAAAATAGATAACGCGTAAATTGATATTCATTACTAATAAACCCAAGCTTCAAATCGATTAAAATTTCAATATGTGAATAAATTATTAACGAAGCTATCTTTTATTCTACTGTATATTTTGAAAAGTAATTATATCTTATTTTTAGTTATCACAACCTTTATTAAAAACACGACATAACCCTTAGCCCATATAATTAATAAAACAATAATCACTTATAACGTTTATACATATTATCAACCTGTTACTTAACCCAAAGTTACATTTATTACTTTAGTAGTATAGCTCTATAAACGTAAAATATACTGTAAACATTAGTACAAACCTATTATTATTATAATATATATCACATTAAACAGTACACTCAAAGTTCTAAGTTTAAAGCTTACATGTAATGTCTCAATCTTCTTTTTTATTGACCGTTTTTGGCATTCAAAACTTACATATAGTTAATATAGCCAGTATTAGCAGTATATAGTAAAAATATTCACTCCTAAGTGAAGTTCTTGGAAAGGTGGATTATTTTTGATTAATTTTAACAGTGAATATCTACGTTCGTTTAGAGCTAGAATTTGATTTTACAACGGTTTTTTTGTTAGTGAAACGTTACATTCCCAAAAAGTACTTTAAAGTGTATAAATAAGTTACCCGGGCAATTGATTTACATCAGCCAATCAGATGAAAGTCGTCCTATGAGTAACGTTAAAATAAATAACTACGTTAATAATTAAAAAAGATCTGTATCACTAATACAGAACAGGAACGAAATTATATCTATGTTAATGATGTAATTCAATTTAAAGTATATGACTCCTTTGACATCATCTCTAATACTTTAAATACGTACCAGATGCGTGTGTATGTACGCTGCAATTTTTATACCACTCTTTATAGTATATGAATGTGAACACATACTTTCTCATATACATTTATTTTGCAATGGACGATGAAATTACTGTTATAAACCCAAGGAATTCAAAGAGATTCAGCACGATCAAAATTATTAATGAAGAGGTACTAAGTTGGTCTTTAAAAAAAACTGTCACTAAGTTTTCGTATTACATTTCAAATACTTACTTGTTCTTATTTAGGTTCAAGATGCTCAAACACATAATGATTTAAATAATGCACCGACTTACGAATATGATACTCTTTATGAAAATCAACGAGGGTAAATTCCTGACATATATATATATATATTTTTTTTTATGTCTTTACTTAAAAGCTTTGACCCTTCGTTTTTCATATGCGTAGGTTGTTTTTATTTGGTTTACCAAAGTTCAGTTCTAATGCGCTGAATCCAGCTGATCCTCAACCTTGGTGCGACAAAAATTATAAGTACTTGCAATTATTTATTTTATAACTGCCTCTATTATTATATTAAGCCAACTGATTGATATTAGCGAAATATTCTATATCAAGATTCTCTCCAATGGATATTTACACATATCAGTTACCAAACCCGATGTGGGAATGGGTGCGTCGTAAGTGATTATAATCCATGCGTAAATTTTATTGTTCACATATTTATTCAATTTGCCTTTTTCAACTTATAGGTTCACAAAGAATGGTTGATTGATATGTCTGGTGATGTGGATGAAGGTGAGATTGCCCTTATTTGGCCGAAGTTAAATATTATTTAGGATTTTAATTATTTAATTTACAGAGGGTTGGGAATATGCTCCCGATTTCCATTGTCCTTGCTGGCACGGTACATATCTTAATTCTTTTTGATTATATACATAGAAACATATTATAATTTGTTCTTTTTTAACTAGGTTGCTATAAACCACTTCGTTCATTTGTTCGTCGAAGGCGTTGGATACGTTTGCGTCGTCGAAAGGTTAGACAATTCTATTGTTTGATTTTATTTGTTACTTCTTATTTAACATTTCTCCACCAATTTGTTTAGGGAAAAGCAATCAGCATAACTAGTGATTCTGACCAATAATGAAGAATTGACCAGAACTAATTCGACATAACCAGTTGATTTTTTATCAAAATCGGCTGATCGATTTCTCATAACGCTCACATATAAGTTTATAGTATATACAGCATATTCCTTGATAACATTAAATACACTCCATAGTAACAGAAACTGTCGACTTTAATCGATTTAATTAATAGGTTTAATTTGCTTCCAATCGATTTTGATTATAATCGATTGACTTAATCACAAAATAAATTATCATAAGGGTAATATTTTTTTTACCATACCCTCCATGTAAGAGAAATTTGATTGGCTATTATAAATTTATATATCTAAAATGTGTCAAAGAATCCCCTCCCTCAGGCATGATGTGACGGATACATGGTATTAGCAAAAGCACGTGGCCTTCGGCCACGTGCGTTGCTATCAATACCCATGTATCAGATCAGTGTTGGACGATGATGTCATGTAAATGACATGACTTATCGTTATATGATTGGGAAATTCTATTTTGACCCGGGTCATTTAACCTGTCACGTGATCACCTGACCAGTGTGGCTTGAATCGACGAAAAGTTTACGAACAGTGCTTAGGGACAGTGATGGGTTGGACAGTGTATAATCACGTGATTTTTGGACAGTGCAAAATACCCTTAATCCTTAAAAATAATTTAATTTCCCATTTATAAACTTGTATAAAAATATAAACAGTAAATGTTACTGCTGAAGCTAGAAACGGCCAAAACAAAAATTGGGCTTATTTTAATATACAGTAGAATATCAAAATTTTCTTGTATATATTTTTTTACCTTTTTTTTTTTTAGTTAGGATAGAAATAAATCAAAATTATCATTTTTGACCTTAATTACACTAATTGTTGGATCAATGCAAACATTGTACATTTTCATTCATAGGTTCTAAATTGTTTTATAATATAATTATTATCAGCTTAAGCAAGAATATGCCATGGCAAGAATTTGATCAATACTTAGAAATTGAAGATCATTACCCAGTAACTCTGAAACTTGCATATAAAATACGCCTTATGACAATCATCTTGGAATAGTGAATATGACCAAAAAAAAAAACATGAGTGATTGTTAATATAGTTGCAAAAGGTAGCAAATTTTAAAATACTTATCTGGGAAAAGCTTATGTTTCATTGTCATGCATGTTGAGAAAGGTTTTAGAAAACTGGAAAATTCATTCATAGTGAAGGAAGAAATAGTTTAATTTTTACACTGTAAATATGAATAAGGAAAATATAATAAATATTTTACTAGTTTTTTTTAAACCAAGGTTTTGTATTTGAAACTTCTTACAAATAAAAAAGCTAAATTTTAGTTAAATTAATTTTTTTCAAATATAAATTATATGAAAATATATAACACAAAATTGAATTCTTATAGTTCTTAAATTAGCTATAATCATATAAAAAATAAAACATATTTTTATAATATTTATCATTTTTCCTATAATAGTCATGTTGCCATTACAACTAAAAATCCCAGAAATTGGTAGTGAATTTCCAACAGTAGAAAGTTTTAAGGAAGTTGCCCAAGAAGGTGTTAAAGTGGCAGGCTTTGCTTTTAGTGTATCATCATCAAAAATAACATATAGTAAAAAAGATAGTTGTACACCTTTTGTTACTTTGCAATGTACAATGGGAGGCAAATATAGAAATAACTATAAAGTTATAGAGAAAACTTGAAAAAGAGTTAAATCTACAAAGTGCCAAAACTGCCCTGTCACATTGTATGCTGTTTTGAATAAAAAAGCTAAAGCTTGGGTAGTACAATCTTCTAAAGTTTAACATAATCATGAACTTCTCTCACAATTACAAGTTTACTATCTTTATTAATATCGAATTCCTAACCCAAAACAAAAAGAGATAGTTCATATGATGATTAAAAGTGGGGTGTCAGTTCAGTTAGTTGCTGATGCTATATATTGAAAACATGATATAGTATATACAAAGGATATTGTTAATGAATATAATAAAATTAAAAATGCTTTGAATAAATGCTCAAATCATAATATGACTATGCAACTTATACAAATGTTGGAAGATCATTAGTATGTAGTTTGTTATATATTATCAAAAAATGGTTCTATAAGAAACTTGTTTTTTACCCATATTGAATTAGCTTACCAAACTACTATATGTTCGGAAGTGCTTATAGTAAATGTAATATATAAAACAAACTTATATAAGCTTCTCCTTATAAATGCTGTTGGCATCAGTAATCTATAATATATTAAGAAACTAAGGGGTGATAAACCATATGAGATAAACAAAAAGATAAATGTATGAGATAAATATACATTCTGATTGGCTAAAAAAATAAAAGTGAAGGTATTTACTATTGTCTTTGGAACCTAAAGTTTCCCAAAGAAAAAGTTTTTTCTTTACTAAGTAAACCTTTTTCAATACTTAAGTAAAGTTGTAGAGAAGTGTCTTGCGATCAGAATGGTGGCTAAAACATTAAAATCTGCCTAGTGGATCGCGAGATATAAGCATTTTAGTCTTTGTGACTATAGTTAAACCTCTATAAATACAACCTCTATAAATGCAATACCTCTCTAAATGCATGTTCCTGGCCTGGCTGTAAGAAATCATTAGTGCTAAATACATATTCTATATTTTGCAAATGCACGTTCACTCAAAAGATTTTCTATATCATACTAATCTCCCTAAATGCACGTAGCCAATCAAAATTCAGTATTCAAGTTGTATTACACAAGTCTGCAGATCAAATATTAAAAGTTGCAATTTGATTGGCTTTCTCTAAATGCAAACCTCTCTAAATACACAGTGCATTTATGGAGATTTGACTGTATATGTTTTCTTCTTTATATAAATAAAGAAGAAAATATATAGTTGCAAAGACTAAAATACTTATATTTCGCGATCACTAGGCCGATTTTAACGTTTTAGCCACCATTCTGATTACAAGACACTCCTCTACAACTTTACTTAAGTGTTGAAGAAGGTTTATTTAGTAAAGAAAAAAAAAATTTTTCTTTGAGAAACTCCAGGTTTTTTTTGGATCTGGAGTTTTCCAAAGAAAAAATTTTTTTTTACTAATTTTTTTCAATACTTAAGTAAGTTGTAGAGAAGTGTCTTGTGATTAAAATGTTGGCTAAAATGTTAAAATCGGCCCAGTAGATCGCAAGATATAAGCATTTTAGTCTTCACAACTATATATTTTCTTCTTTATTTATATAAAAAAAAAACATATAGTTGTAAAGACTAAAATGCTTATATCTCACGATCTACTGGGCCAATTTTAATGTTTTAGCTACTATTCTGATCGCAAGATACTCACTTCTCTACAACTTTACTTAAGCGTTAAAAAAGGTTTACCTAGTAAAGAAAAAACTTTTCTAAAGACAATAATAAATATCTCTACTTTTATTTTTTTAGCCAATCAGAATGTATGTTTATTTTATTTTTATTTTTTTTTAAATCTTTGATAGTTTTGCCAGTGCTCAATTTATTAAGACTATATTTCAGGTGAGAGCTAAGCTCTCTCGAACAATACATATATCATTCATAACCAAAAAACAGGAAGTCTCACAATTGTGAGCCTGATATCACCCGGCTGCGATAAACGTGCCCAACTACGACTTGTCGCACCAACCTGTATACAAGTTAGATAAACTTTGTCAGTCCATCAAAGCTTTTTCCTTTATATCTTCTTTCTTTACCGAGCAAAAGAAAGTAATGATCTCATACAAAACCACCAATAATACCAAGAAAACAAAATGAAAAAACTAACTAAAAAAAGATAAATAGAACAAAGAAGTGTTTTTAAAGGAAAAAAAAAGAGAGTACAATGAGATATAAAAAAAAAAACACAAAGAGAAAAGCCCAAGAGCTGACAAAGAGGGGAACTACCTCTATAAAGAAATAGTATAGGGGAAACGAAATAAAAAAACAAGACAAAAAGAAATACACTATTATAACCCGTATCAGGTTTAAGAAAAAATTTTATAACAACTGCAACGTTTGTATATTTTAACTATAATATAAAACCTTTATTATTCGACTACTGGCCACCTCTGGATGCCTTTTATGCCAAAGACCCGATCTCAATCACATGGAAGTCCTGTATCCATAGATTACGTTGCATATCATATCTACTAATAAACAAGGCATATGGTTGCATTCCTGGGTACATCCGAATTTGGGAGGTAAACAATGCTGATCTTTTGGAGAGGTAAGCCAAATCACCTACTTTTTGTCGAAAATTTTGGAGAAGACTGACAAAATCAAGAGAGACTTAAAGAAAGGACCACTACTGTAAACTGCTATATACAAGACCCCCCAGATATTAGATCTCCCATTACTAGACCCGGGTCTATAATGTGGGATAAAATTTTGGTAAAGTGTAGAGACCCAGGGTATACAAATAGGAAAACACTAATAAAATAGAATAAACCCCATTTATCAGACCCACACCTATACAAAAAACCCATAGGTTTATTACAGGTTTTAAAATCAGCAAAATGAAACAGACCCGGGTCTTGTATATGGCAGTTTATAGTAGCACTCAAAGAGAGTATTTTATCCTTGAAAGAACCAATGACTAGTAACCCTTTTTCTAGAAAAGAGGAAGAGCTATTGTATTTAAACAGTAAGTGATAAACTCCGAACTTGTCTGCAAGTAGCGTATGAAAACTACTTCTAAATGACAAGTGCTGTACCAGCAGTGAGTGATAAACTCTAAAGAAGTTAGCAGATAGTGTATAAGAACTACCTCTAAATAACAACTACCAACTTATGGATTTCAGTTTTACGCTCTTTATTACTTACTAGTTACTGTTTTATGTTTATTTCATACATTTATCTTTTTGTTTATTTTATATGGTTAGAGCTATTATCTGGGTCAGTTGATCTGTACAGGTCACAGGTTAAAAATTGCTCTAACCCAGGTCAAACAGATCAGAATTTAAAGTAGGCAAAAACTTATTAAAATACTATATTATAGTACTATATAGGTAAAAAGCATTATAGTTACTAAATAGTAAAGATCTTACCTGGGTCAGGTTATGAATTTCCCAGTGTAGAAAATGAGCAAACTCAAATCACAAGCAAAATTGAAAAATTTTTTCAATACAAAATCTGAAAAATTCCAATTTAAATAATTGAAGTATAGCTGTTCTCTATACTAACAGCTCTAATTAAGTATTATTGCATCAATTTTAAGGATTAACTTCAAAAACTTTATGAATTTCCATTTGATCTGTTGACCCGGGCAGTGTGTGAAATTCAAATTTTAATTTATATTCTTAAATGAACATTAAATTATTTTTACTGTTCTTAAAAAAAATATATTGTTCTCAATAGAGAACATTTTTTTTATAATAATGTTTTTAATTTTAAAAAATTGTTCTCAAATTTATATATTAAAATTTATAATATAAGTTACACATATCGGCGGGTTTGTGGAATGGATCTAAATTAAGTCCCTAGATTTAAAAATTGCAGAATGCATAATAGCTGAAATTTTGGGGTCAGTTTTACAATCGTATTGTTAAAATATACAAATCTTAATATAGGACAATTCTGAAAATTCGCCGATATGTATTAACATATAATAATTTAAACCCGAAACTTGACCAGTGCACAATATCTATTGTAAAATACTGAGGGTTCTGGTTAGGACTATTAAGTGGTCTGACTCAAACCAATGGACTGTCAGTACTGTCTTTTTTAGAATAGACTAAAAGAACTGTTAGTTCTAATATCAGTTATATTAAATTATTGTTATAGGTAATTTTCTGCAATATTTGATCTGATATTAAATTTAGATCATAAATATAAATAAAATATCTAATTCTAGTCATAAGAAAACTTTTTATTAAGTTGATATAAAGTTATATGCTAAGCAGTGAATACTTAATTACATGTTTGGTGCTTATATATAACTGTGGAAATTCCAAATTTCTTTAGTATAAATCTCATGTATGTATAATTAAACCAATATGTATAGAGTACTCCAACCTTATATAGTAATTTTTTCAATCATGATACTATTTTAGTTGGATATTTAATTAATTAAAAAATAAAAGTCTTAAACTGAATCATTACAATACAGTATTAATATGTTCATAAGCTATTTGAGAAAAGCTAATCTGAGACACTTCAAGAAAGAAGAACCCAGTAATCATCACGTTATATAAAATTATGCAATTACATCATTTGTTCACTAGCACTAACAAAACCGGCCTAAACTAACTAACACTAACTCTAATTTAGGCTAAACGATTTATTTTATAATATAGTAATTACTGAGTTAGCTGTTCTTTTTTGAGAACTATAAATTAATTATTTGAGAACATTGTATATAAATCTATGTTCTCACTGAGAACATCATATTCAACAAAAATGTTTTCAAATAAGAGAACATTTCTTAAGTCAAAATGTTCTCAAAAATATTTTTATGTTCTCTAAGAATGGTGAGAACATTGAATTTTACACACTGGACCTGGGTCAATACCTGACCCATCTGGGTTGGTATTTTCTGACCTGGGTAAGAGCTCTATATATGGTTTATCACTCTTTAGTTTCTTAATATATTATAAATACTTCAATTTTACAATTATTTATTACTGTGCTAGAGGCATGAGTTATATACTAGTATTAGTAATACAAAATCTCTTGATACCTATCAAATCACAATGGCATAGATAGAAAATGAGCAA